CTCTGGGGTTTTGGGTCCCTCCCCCAAGACATTTTGAGGTCCCCCCAGGCCCCCCCGGGGTTTTAGGTTCCCCCCCCCGAGACGTTTTGGGGTCCCCCCAGGCCCCTCTGGGGTTTTGGGTCCCCCCCAAGACATTTTGGGGTCCCCCCAGGCCCCCCCGGGCACGTGTTGGAGCAGCTGCGCCCCGAGGACATCGTGGGGGTCACGGCCAAGACCCTGAGGGTGAACCCCGAGATGCTGCTGCAGGAGCTGCGACCCCAGAGGGGACCCCGACCCCGGTATTGGGGTCCCTGGGGGGTTTGGGGGTCCCTGGGGGGAAACTGGGGGTCCTGAGGGGGAAATCAGGGCTCTGTGGAGGGGAATTTGTGTCCCTGGGTGGATTTTGGGGTTCCCAGGGGTGTGTCAGGGAGTCTGATGGTGCTTTTTTCGGGGGGGGTCCCCCTAATTTTGAGGGTCCTGAGGAGGGGGAGATCTTCATAATTTTGGGGTGTTTTGGGTTTTTTTTTGGATAGTGGAGTTTCGGGGGGTGATTCCTTCCCTGTTTAGGGATCCCCTGGGGGGGGTGACCAGGTTTTGAGGGGTTCTCCCTCTTTTTGGGGTCCTTGGGGTGGTCCCTATGGATATTGGGGTCCTGGGGAGGGGTTCTACCCCATTTTGGGGTCCTTGGGGAGGTCCCTGTGGATATCGGGGTCCTGGGGAGGAGAAGTGACCAGATTTTGGGGGTTCTCCCCCATTTTGGGGTCCTTGGGGGGTCCCCGTGTATATTGGGGTCCTGGGGAGGGGGAGGTCTTCATAATTTTGGGGTGTTTTGGGGTTTTTTTTGGATAGTGGAGTTTCGGGGGGTGATTCCTTCCCTGTTTAGGGATCCCCTGGGGGGGGGTGACCAGTTTTGGGGGGGTTCTCCCCCATTTTGGGGTCCTTGGGGAGGTCCCTATGGATATTGGGGTCCTGGGGAGGGGTTCTACCCCATTTTAGGGTCCTTGGGGAGGTCCCTGTGGATATTGGGGTCCTGGGGAGGGATTCTCCCCCTCCTGGTGTCCCCGGGGGTCTCCCCTGTGCCGTGGGACCCCCCTGACCCCCTTTTTCCCCCCCCTAACCCCCAGCTCCCCCCCCCCCGGGGCAGGGGTGGGGTCAGCGGTGCAGGAGCTGGCCCGGCTGGCGGGGGGGGCCCCCAAAGACGGGGGGCTGCCCTTGCTGGAGGCTCTGGGGGTGCCCCCGGGCCGGGACCCCGAGGCCGTGGCGGCGGCGGCCGAGCTGAGGGCGCTGGGGGGGTCCCTGCGCTCCTTCCGCTGCGTCCACAGCCCCCGATTCCCTCAGCAGGTACGGGGCTGAGGGGGTTTTTGGGGGGGCTCTGAGGGGTTTGGGGGACCCCCCTGACCCTCCTGCCGTGCCCCCCTCCCAGTACGCCCAGTTTGCCGCGCGGCAGGAGCTGCTGGAGCAGCTGGAGGAGCTCCAGTTCCAGCTCTCGGACCAGTCGCTGCTGCTGCTGCCCGAGTACCACCAGCGCCTCAAGGTGGGGACCCCCCCTGGACCCCAAACCCCATCCCGGGACCCCCCTGTACCCCAAAATCCCCCCTGGGACCCCCCTTGTACCCCCAACACCCCCCAGGACACCCCCTGTACCCCCAACCCCCCTGGGACCTCCCTTGTACCCCCAAAGCCCCCCAGGACCACCCTGACACTCCCCCTCCCTTTGCCAGGTGCTGACGGAGCGGGGGGACATTTTGGGGTCCCCTGACCCCCGTAACCCCTGTTGTGCCCCCCAGGTGCTGACGGAGCTGGGGTACATTTTGGGGTCCCCTGACCCCCATAACCCCTGTTTTGCCCCCCCAGGTCCTGACAGAACTGGGGATACATTTTGGGGTCCCCATAACCCCTGTTTTCCCCCCCGCAGGTCCTGACAGATCTGTGGTCCATTTTGGGGTCCCCCTGACCCCCATAACCCCTGTTTTGCCCCCCCAGGTCCTGACGGAGCTGGGGTACATCTCGGGGGGGGCGGTGGCCCTGGGGGGCCGCGTGGCCGCCCTGCTGAGCACGGAGCAGCTGGTGCTGACGGAGCTGCTGCTCGGCAACGTCCTGGCGCCGCTGCGGCCCGAGGAGAGCGTGGCCCTCCTGTCCTGCCTCGTCACCCCCGGGCGCGGGGAACCCCTGCCCGAGGGCCTCCCTGTGCCCCTCACCCAGGTACCCCCGACCCCGGGGAACCCCGAGATTTTTGGGGTCTCTGGGGCTTTTTGGAGGAGCACTCTGGGTTTGGGGTCTGTGGGGTGGTGCCTCCGGGGTGGGGGGCCCCCCATGTATCCTGCCGGTGCAGGAGGGGACGGTGGTCCCTCATGGTCCCCGGTGGTCCCTGGTGGTCCCTGGTGGTCCCCGGTGGTCCCTGCTGGTCCCTCGTGGCCCCCGGTGGTCCCTGCTGGTCCCTCGTGGTCCCTTGTGGTCCCCAGTGGTCCCTGCTGGTCCCTGGTGGTCCCTGATGGTCCCCGGTGGTCCCCAGTGGTCCCTGGTGGTCCCCGGTGGTCCCTTGTAGGGCAGGATCCATGTTGGAGTGAGGGCTCCCTGACCCGGGGGGTCCCTCCCCATGTCCCCCCCAGGCCCTGGAGCGGCTCCGTGGCGTCGCCGCCCGCGTGGGGCGGCTGGAGCAGGAGCACGGCCTCGGGCCCGGCCCCGACGACTTCGTGGCCCAGTTCGGCTTCGGCCTCGTCCAGGTGGTCTACGAGTGGGCCCGTGGCATGGTGAGACCCCCAGGGGCCCCCCCCTGAGACCCCGAGACTCCCTCAGACCCCCGCTATCCCCCCCAGCCCTTCACGGATGTCGCCCGGCTGGCGCCGGTGCAGGAGGGGATGGTGGTCCCTGGTGGTCCCCAGTGGTCCCTCGTGATCCCTCATGGTCCCTGGTGGTCCCTTGTGGTCCCTGCTGGTCCCTGATGGTCCCTGGTGGTCCCTGGTGGTCCCTGGTGGTCCCTCGTGGTCCCCGGTGGTCCCTGATGGTCCCTGGTGGTCCCTCGTGGTCCCCAGTGGTCCCTGGTGGTCCCTCGTGGTCCCTCATGGTCCCCGGTGGTCCCTTGTGGTCCCT